TTTTGACCAAGGGGTCCCTCGTTTCCATTTTGCACTGGGCTCTGCAAATCCATAGCACACAGTTTGTAGAGATGACTGGGGTACACCCTATAGTTATTACTGGCACTACCAGGGGTAAAGCCCTACTAACTTCTATCAACCTGATAGAGTTTTCAGTTTGATGGACATGTGTCTCTGCTTCCTGTCGGCTTCCCCTGACCTCCCCATCCACCCTCACTCCAGCGAAGGCTATGGGGAAACACAGCTGAACAAATGAACATCAGCTGGATGGAGGGAGCAAACCTGGCCTCACATTAAGCCATGTTTTTAAGTGGACCTTGAACATGCACTGTCCTTTCACTGCCAAGTGCTTCCTTTCACTGTGTGCAGATCATTTAAGGGCTTACCTCTGGCTCACTAAAAGGTTGCAATAGCCAAATCTCCCACATTGATTTGGTTGGTAAGACTCCAGCGCCTTGTCCCTTCACCTGCATGAAATGCACACGAGACCCAATGCAAGCCACACTACATGACACCAAGACGTCATGAAAGCCACACTTGGTTATCATACATTTATTGTTAACATAACACCCCAAGTTCACATCATGTACATTTTCCAAAGTTGAAGATCCTTAACCAACTCTGTTCTTCACAGACTTCACGACAAGTGTGAAAAAGAGGCAGGAAGGTTAGCTTGAGTCTACAAGTCAAACTCCAAATATAGGACACCCCCGGGATTTATGTGTGTGCAAGGATCGATATACATAATGCCCCCGATGCATAGCAAATGAATGAGACTCTGAGTAAAATATGAGCACAATTTGTTCGCACGTTATCATGAGAAGACAGAAGGCATCAAATATATACTTAGCTGTTACGCATTTTAACTGTTCGATGCACCTGCAGTGAAAAAATATACATTTTGTTCTTTAACTCTCAAAGTGAAAATAGACCATCAGCTCAGTCTCTCTCGTTCCCAGTAGCTACAAAGACTAAGACAGCACGTCTGGCCTCTGACTCCCTCAAATATGGCCTTGAACTAAAGACCAAAAGGAAGGTGGTGTTAAAGGGGCGACTTGGTCCCCAAGATGGGTGCAGCTGAAGCTCCCACACAAGACCAAAACTATACAACTCAGCCTGCCCAACAGCCACACAATGGGGCGACTGTTTCCATGGTCCATTCCCCAGGAAGAGTTCCTTGAAGATGCTCTGTGGTCTAGTTCTGTCGGCCAAGAGTGCACTTGGGGAGTCCCTACGGCAGTCCCCACGATTCCAGCTCAGTGCAAGCCTCCTTAAAGACTAAAGGGGTGGGTGAAGTTAGAGTACCCAACCCCTACTTTCAACCTTCTCCACACAGTCAAGAGATGCGCTTACCAGCAAGGCAGGAAAATTTACAAAACATGACAATGAAACATGTCCCAATTGTTGAGCACAGAGCAAGGCTTGAGTAGGTAGCACAATAGAAACCTGGCGATACAAAATGTTTAGCAAAGGCGTCTTTAGCATCAGGTACATTAGTAAATGCCTACGATGCCTGGAACGTCTTACCCACACTAGCAGACTAGTTGTTTCAGGGCATGTTTAGGATTTGCTGATAAGGCTGTCTCAGAGAACCTTCTTTCTGGAAATGGAAGCAACAGCTCCAGTGTGTGCTGGCGCGCTTTTAAACGTCTGCCACCTCCCATCGGCTGCCCTGGGCATTCCCCATAAGCAGGTCAGGTGACTAGATGCTCTTTTCACGATAAACAGGCAACGCAGGGGGGCTCCAGAGGGATAACCTTCAGATAGCCATGACTTACTGATATCTCCTCGAGCCTGGGAAAGGATGGCAAAATATGCTGGCTCCAGACTCCCAAATCCCCAAGGCCTTCTTACTCAAAACTGCAAGCCTCCTTAAACAAAACCCTCAAAATGAAACAGGAGAGTTAACTGAGCCTTGGAAAGCAGAGTTTCAAAGAGCACACTTGAAACACCGTCAAGTTGGAAAGACCTTCTAACTGATAGTTCATTGTCACGTTCGTGAATGTTCCAGCCCCAACCAACGAAGGCTGACTTGTCAAGAATATAGGAGGATCTGACTGCTAATAAATGTAATGAGTTTTTTTTCCATTTTAAAAATCACATTCCCTTGGCAATATCTAGTCGGGAGGTGTGATTCTAGTGTGTGCTGAACAAAATGTTTTCAGCTCGAAGGTGTTAGAGTGTAGCTGAGATCCTTCCAACTACTAGATCGGAGAAAATATTTTAAAACACTGTTTTAATTGGGAGACACTCTCCGTTCTAGATTTGAACTTATTGATCTCCTGAGTACACATCAGCTATTACCAGGGCTGTGAGATCATTTAAGGAATCATTGAGAAATAGACTACAAGATTGAATCACATCTGAAGAGAAGAATGCTTTACGATGGTTCAGACACTGGTAGGAAATCAAAGGAAATATCCTGTTTCTGATTGACTTAGCCCTCCCTCCCGCCCCCTCCCCACCCCCACACACAAAAAGCTAAACTTGAACATTTGGGACCTAAAGAACCAAAGATATATTGAAGGAAAATGGGAACTTACTACCATATTGAGTTCATTTTGATCACAGTAGTCTATTTTAAAGAACAAACTCCCATAAGGAATACAGGAATGGAATCCATGCAAACCAACAGCAGCTGTCTCAGGTTCTGCCAAGACACTCAGACTAACACACTGCCTCGTGGAAAAGGTGAGGTGCTCAGAAGTACAAGTGGTTCTTTAGATGTGATCTTTCTGCTTCAATCCAAGAGACAGTTCTAGGCCCCGAACTCGTTAAAATGATTGCATGTTTTAAGGCTGATTACGTCAATAAAATTCCACCTGGTTGTTTGTAGTATTTTTAGTATTGCTAGAAGCTGAAGGATGTAAACTCAAGAGTCCATCAAATCGGACTGGTTGGTATTGCAACTCTGTCAATAGTTACCGCTTTCGTTAGAGTCTTGGGCAGACTGGTTTCTGCACATGAAAACGGATGGGTTCTCAGCTCGTAAAACATCTCCAGAGATAGGAAGATGGATGAAGCTTTGAGCTAAGTGACCTCCTCTCCTAAACAGGCCCAAAGCACTTGTCGACAATATCTATAAAGCACCTCAGACCCCCCCCCCACCCCCAACTAAGTCAAGTGCCTGCCTTGGCTATCACACACATATCCAGATAGTTACCTTGTGGTTTTGCTTCAGGCCTGCTGGAGATAGAGGCAGCAAAGGCAAGAGAGGCCACATACAAGAGACATCGGGAAAGCTAAGAAGGTCACTATAGCTTCTGCTGTGCTTCGATCCACGGGGCTTGTAGGACCTCCCTATGGGAAAGGCCACTTAATGATCGGGTCACTAAGGCCCCCATGGGTGGGGAGAACACTGACCTCCTTCAGTCTGCTGATTTTTGCCCAACAGATATGTCTCATTTGGGTGGTATTTTCTCAGAAAGGTATGATGATGATTTGAATAGCCAGCCTTCCTAAAAAGCAAACTAGACAGAGGCTCACAGAAGCACAATCATGAGTTAAAGTCATAAATTACCAAGTACACACCAAGAAAACAGAAACCAGGGAAGAGCACTCTTTTAGATACTACTACTAACATGTGCATACATACACACAACTGCTTTTTAAAAAACTACTTCTAAATAACTAGTTATGTGGGGTTCACAGTTAGGCCCAGCCAAGGTGGTTGGGTAGAGATATTATTGGAGTGTGCTTTAATGCCAGATCTCCCTCAAAATGCAAGTGAGACCCTATAATTCAGGAGGCTGCGATTGTCCAATAAAAGCTTGATTGCTTTTCTTCCTGAATGAGGACCAAGCCAATGAAACAGAATGTCTTCTACTTTGGCCCACTGGCCTGATGGGGAAGATTAAAAAAAAAGCAGGTCAGTAGTGTTGCAAGGCACACCATAGACTAACACTCCTTAGTTGACACACCTGGTTAATGGCTATGAAGTCTTCGTCTGGGTGTGGACATAAGTACTGGGAGATGATGAGCTAAAGTGCACATGCTACACACAGCCTGTGAATCGTCTACCCCAAGAAGACAGTTTAGAAAATGTGTAACAGCACCTCCGAGCTCCGAACCTGGGAAAAGCGACCACTTAAAACTGTGGCACTGACCCCTTCAACCTTAGGGTGGGTTTTACCTCATCCCAAACCTTTCCAAAGGGGAAGGAAACAAACAAACAAACCCCGAGAGCGCTCAGGGTTCGTGATTTTCAGAATCAAATCCATTCCAAACTCATAGGTATGCACAGACTAGAATCAACAGTCCCCCACCCCTCCTTTGGAAAAACACTGTCTGTTTGCACCCTTCTCTTCTGCCATTAGACTATTAATAAAGTTTGACACTGGAATATGCAAGCCTCGAATCAACACCTACTTTTGCTAAAAGCTCTCACGCAGCTCTATCGAAATGGAAGAATGAATCCCACGTACTGTGATCCTATCCCAAACCACTTCCCAAAGGACTCTAGGCATCCCGCATCCCTGTGGCCTGAGAGTGGCCAAGAGAGCACGATGCACTAGGGACAGGACTTCCTGCATGAGCCTCCCAAAGTCAGGACCACACTGCTGGGCCCTGGTCCTTGGCTCAGTCGGCTCCTACTTTCAAGCTGGGTGCCAAGTTCTCCCAGATGAGCTCGACTGCTCTGCAGCACCTCCCCTGGAGCAATTTTGTTCCTCTGCATGGGATCTGACCCACTGCCTTCCCAAGGACATACATCACAGAGAACAAAACAGGCATGTATCCAGTGCAAGGACGGGCTGGCTTGCTTTCTGTGTGTCCAATCTAGTCAGAATCCAGGTTAAAATAATAAAGACAAAACCAACTACCAAAGGTTGTTGGGTTGTTGGTAATAACCACTGACCTTCTTCCCCCATTTGGAACCCGCCCCCTCCCCTGTCCAAACAAGCAATGTTTACCCATCCAAACAGCCTCATCAGCCTCTCGTGTCTCTTGGGCAGTTTCCAAACGCATGCATTTACATACAGATAGGCTGTCCTTACGCAGGATAAAAGTCGAGATCTGGCAACTATTTATTTAATTTTATAGGGCGAGGCAGTTAAAACAGATTGCTCATGCCCAAAAATTTACATGAAAGGACTGAGTTATCTGGGTTGACAGCCCATCTTGGCCAAGTTAAACAGATCATTGCCCAAACCTCTGCTTTCCAGAGGTGCAAAGACCCAATAAGTCTTTGACCTTCAATAGAAAACAATAGCCATGTATTATTTATACGTAGATATAATATCAAAATGGCACTCGAGAAGCAATTTTTGGCAGACAGTGGTGGAGGGCAGAGCGCCAGTCTAAATCCAACGCTGCGGTGTTATTTTCCGGGTGTGTTTTTTTAGTATCCTCATGCCAGGGACTCTCCAGTTGGAATCCAAATTATTCAGGAAGCCAACCTACTGTGTGTGATAGACATACCAAAATAAAACAAGCATCCTGAAGGTACTTGGCTATAAGATGCTTGTACAAACCATAACTTCTTTAGCTAAAGAATACGCTAAGGGGTTTTTTTTTTTTTTTTTTTTTTTTTTAGTTTGCTAGAAGGTTGATTTTTGGTAAGGAGCAGAAGCTAACATCTCGAAGGCGTACTCAGAATGGGGGATACAATTCTACTGCTAATTGACATTTCACTGTAACCATCAGTTGAAGTGCTCGCTCGCTCTCTTCTGTGTCTCTGTCTCCCCACTCTCTCTTTCTCTCTTTTTCTTCCCCATCGCAGTCTAATGTACAGGTGAAGTGCAAGAGAAAAGGTGACATGGATTCTACTTCGGCTGCTCGCAGCTCTGAACACGGACATCTAGGGCAGGAGTTGGGTTGAAACATTTGCAGGGACGGTCTTGGCAAGGAGGGTCATGGGAACCTTGAGGAGTCAGTCACAATACGGTGACGGGGCGAAGTTGTTCCAGTTGGTTTTCCAATGCAATCCGTTCCTGGTGAACCTCCTGAGTGGTGCAGAGCAGAGAAAAAAAACAAACGGAGAGATAGGTCATTCCCTGGATTCATCCCCACTGCATCAGGTCCTCACAGGGGAACCCCAAAGCCAAACAAGCCGAACTCACCGGCATCCAGTCGATGGCCACTCACAGCAACCCTGCAGGAGAGCATAGAACTGCCCCCCCAGGGGGGGTTTCCAAGACAAGGGCTCTTTACAGGAGTAGAAAGCCCCATATTTCTTCCCAGAGTGGCTGGTGGTTTCGAACTGCTGACCTTGCGGTTGGCAGCCCCACGGGTAACCACTCTGCCACCGGGACACTGACAGGAGATGATGTCATGCCAGAGGGTTAAGCTATTTGGGTAGAGTGTGACCTTCATTCTCTGTTAGCCCTCACTTGCTTTGGGGCCTTCCGGACAGACACGCTACGCTTTTCAAGCTGCTCCTCCTCTGACATCACAGTCTGGTACAAGAGGGAGACCTCTGAAATGTGACCCCGGCCCAAGTGCTGTGGCATCATCGTCTGAGAAGTAGGCTCCTTCCCTCCAAGCTCCCACTCCTGGCAGCTGCCCTGAGGCCGGGCACAGGAGAATGGAGGAAAAGGAGGCCTCAGCGTGCCCAGCCCCAGAGCTGGAGAGGGGAGGGCTGCTCCGGATCTCCTTCCCTCCACCCACAGTGCTCGCTTCCCTGCAGGAGGCCGAGTAGAGCGTTCAGGTCAGACTACTGGGGGTTGGGGGCGGTGGTGGCTGCAATTTGGGTCCTGTAAACTCTGGGCGCCTTCTTCATGTTTCCTTTCTGGAGTTTTCAGACAGGTGTTCGTGCATTGTGGAAGGAGAGAAAGATCCAGTTCTGGTCTTTCAACAGCCGAATGAAAAGCCAGACAATAATACCTTCTTCTAAATCAGTGGTTTTCAACCTTCCTAATGCCATGGCCCTTTAAGATGGTTCCTCATGCTGTGATGACCCCCCCTCAACCAGAACATTATTTTCGTTGCTACTTCATCACTGTCATTTTGCTACTGTGATGAATTGGGCGACCCCTATGAAAGGGTCATTCAACCCCCAAAGGGGTCACAACCCACAGGTTGAGAACAGCTGTTCTAAATTCTAAAGGAAACCATGTTCCAACCTAGAATTCTTCACTCAAACTAAGCGTGGAGGTAAACTCGTCATTCTCAGACAAGGAGGGTGGCGGGGTGGGGTGGGGGTGGGGGTGGGGGTGGGTGGGGGTGTTCCAATTTTAAAAATCTCCCTTTCCTCCTCCTTTTTCTTAGTAATTGACAAGAGCAAGTACATCACGAAAGATGACGTGAGACACGAGAAATCTTCTCCGAAGGAACGCCTGCAGACAGGGGTGAGGAAAGACCACAAGAGGGCCCCTGGGCCCCTGGGCCCCTGGGCCCCTGGGCAGGAGGCAGCCAGCAGAGATGGGATCCAGTGAGAGGCTTCTCCAAGAAGAAGGGGTTGAAAGGGAGGAACTGCTGGAGCTACACCACTTGAGAAGACATGCAACAGCATCCGCACGGCCTGGGGCTGCACTGGTTTTGAGTGCAAAGGAAACTGAGTGCATGAGACCAACAAGACCAAGGCCGACTCCAGGGAGAGCAAAGTGCTCTGCAAGAAAAGAAGGGCCATTGGGTGGCCCCCTCTGGCTCCCTCTGCTGGCTATGACCAGTAGTAGCAAAGGCGCGTCATGTCAAGGGGAGGCGATAGACACCGCCAGAATCCGCAAAAAGAGGTAAAAGGAAATTTTAGTGTAGAAGGGACACAAGTTGAGAAGGGAAACGCTCCAACAGTGATGTGATGATCAGAAATCTGACAGAATCACAAGCCAAAACAAAATCACAAGCCAAAACAAACTCGTGGCGACCCAACAGAGCAGGGTAGAAACACCCCGTGGGTTTCTGAGATTGGAACTCTTTACGGGAATAGAAGCCCTCGTCTTTCTCCTTGGGAGCAGCTGGTGGCTTCAAACTGCTGACCTTGCGATGCGCAGGCCAAGGCATAACCACTGCGCCACCAGGGCTTCTTAGTAAACAATTTGAAAATGACATTAAGAAAACTATTCCTTTTATAACTCCACTACCATGGAGTCAATTCCAACTCATACTGACCCTGCATAGGGTTTCTGAGGTTGTAGATCATGATGGGAGCAGCAGCCTCACCTGTCTCCCTAGGAGTGGGCTGGTGGGTTTGAACTGCTGCCCTGAAGGTTAGCAGTCCGATGTTTATCCAATAGGGCCATTAGGGTGCCTTCAATTTATAATAATTTTACAAAATACTTGTGATTGAAAATTTGAAAAGACATGTAAGACTTGTACAGTCTTAAGAACTACTGGAAGAAATTCTAGAAGACCTATGTAATTAGAAGAGAGAGACTCTGGTCATGGAGTGGGAGACTCGGTATTATTTACATATCAAAGTGGGCTCATCCACCCAAAGCATACGCAATCCTACCAAGTCAACTCTGACTCATTGCGGCACGATCAAGGGCTTCCAAGCCTGTAAATCTTTATGAAAGCAGACAGCCTTCACTTTTGCCCCCAGATCAGGCGGTGGGTTTACTCTGCTACCCTTCATTTTAGCAGCCAATGCCTAACATATATTGTTACCAGCACTCCTGTAATTGAGCTATAGACTCATGGAAAATCCTGTACCCCTCCTAAATGTCCCTCTTTCTGTTTTTGTTTTACTTTTTTCTTTTTCGTTTTACAGTTTTATTAGCACATAATCCATATACCATATAATTCAATCGCTCAATTATATCAGGAAGAATTGGGAAATCATTACCACGATCAATGTTAGAACACCACCCCCCATTAAATCACCATTAAAAAGGAATTGCATAATCACATTCAGTTCTAATGCTCCCTACCCCTCCTGCCTTCATAGTTTGCTCCCCAAATCCCCTCACCCTCCCCCATCTCCCCCCACCATCCCTACATCCCCTACAAACCCTTGCTTCAGTTCTTAGCACTATGCATCCACTCCTTCTGTGCTTCAAAAACTGGTAAACCCAACAGAAGCAGTAAAGAGCAAACACGAAATAACATGGTGAGGATGAACCGATAGTAATATAAAGATAAAAACATAAACAAGGAGTGAGAAAGAAAAGACCATCCTCAATATTTTAACAGCCAGGTCAAACGTCCCTTTTGTAGAAATTGGCACAATTCCAATAAGATCCCTGTGGAATACCAAAAACAGACTTTGAGATCAGACTCGATCAGAAAACATGCCTAAAAGTCAATGAAAAGACCCGGGACTATTTCTAGGCTTTTATTTTTGTCATTGTTGTTGTTGTTTGTTTTTTTAGGTTTCTTTTTTTGTTTTCTTTGCTCTGCCTTGTTTTTGTGCTTATTATTGTCTCTGCAGGTCTACCTAGATAAGATAGGCGGGATAAACAATCCAGAGAAGAAAACAATGAGACCGATGTTTCGGGGGGCGAGGGGCAAGGGGACGTGGGAGAAGGGAGGTGGGGAAATAAAGTGGGTGTTAACAAACCCAAGGACAAGGGAACAACAAGTGATCCAAAATCGATGGTGAGGAGGACATAGAATGCCTGGTAGGGCGTGATAAAGGGCAATATAACCGAGATGAATTACTGAAACTCGAATGAATGCCAAACATGATAGTGGGACAAAAGGAAAGTAAAAGGAAATAGAGGAAAGAACTAGGAAGCAAAGGGCATTTACATAGGTCTAAATACAGGCATGTACACAAGTAAATATATGTATATATAACAATAGGGAAATAGATCTATGTACATATATTTATATGTTAAGTATCAAGGTAGCAGACAGACACTGGACTCAAGTACTCCCTCAATGCAAAAACACTTTGTTCTATTAAATTGGCATTCCATGATGCTCACCTTCCCGACACAATCACTGAAGACAAAACAGGTGCACAACAAATGTAATAAAGAAAGATGATGGTGCCCAGCTATCAAAAGATATAGCTTCTGGGGTCTTAAATGCTTGAAGACAAACAAATGGCCAGGTAGCTGAGAAGTAACAAAGCCCACATGGAAGAAGCACACCAGCCTGTGTGATCATGAGATGTTCATGGGATCAGGTCTCAGGCATCAAAGACCCAGAACAAAAAATCCTCTCAATGTGGATGAGAGGGAGTGCTCAGTGGAGACCCAAAGCCCATCTGTAGACAATCTCCTTACAGAAGGGTCACAAGGAAGAGACGAGCCAGTCAGGGTGCAGTACAGCACTGATGAAACATACAGCTTTCTTCTAGTTCTTTAATGCTTTCCCCTCCCCACTATCATGATCCCAGTTCTACCTTACAAATCCGGCTAAACCAGAGATTGTACATGTGTACAAATAAGAGCTGGACACATAGGGCATCCAGGACAGATAAACCCCTCAGGACCAATAATGAGAGTAGTGATACCAGGAGTTGGGGGTAGAAAGTGGGAACCGATCACAGGGATCTACATATAACTCCCTCCCTGAGGGATGGTCAACAGAAAAGTGGGTGAAGGGGGACATCAGTCAGTGAAAGACATGAAAAAATAATAATTTATAAATTATCAAATGTTCTTGAGGGAGCGAGGGTGGGGGAGGGAAGGACTCAACTAGAAAGAAAAAAATTGTTTTGAAAGAAAATGTTTGATAATGATGATGGCAGCATCTGTAAAAATGTGCTTGACACAATGGATGTATGTATGGATTGTGATAAGAGCTATATAAGCTCCCAATAAGATGGTTTAAAAAAAAAGAGGTGGTTGTAAAAATTACTTGATTTTAAAACTTACTACAGAGTAACAGTAATGAAGATTGTGTCCTATAGGCATTAGGAGCAAGGATGAAGAAACAGATGAATGGAACAGACAAAGAACCCAGAAATAAACCCACACTTTGAGGTCAATAGATTTTTGACAAAGGCACCCACATAGCCCAAGGGAGGAAGAACAGTCTTTTCAAATAAATTGTACTGGCATAACTAGGTAGCCCTATGAAGAAAAACCAAAAACTGACCCTGACTTGAATTTCATACTATGCATAAAATCTAACTCAAGATAGATCACAGATCTAACCATGAAAGTTAAAACAATAATGTGTTTAGAAGACAACATCGGAGAGACTCTTCGTGACTTGGAGGTAGGCAAACTTTTCTTGGCTAAGAACAAGAGCCACAAAAGAAAAAAGTAAAAAAGAAGTTCGACCTCCACAAAATTAAAAACGTCTGCTCATGGAAAGAGCCCGTGAATAAAAGGAACCGACAGAACAAAGACTGGAAGGAGACCCTCACAACACACAGATGCCAAAGACCTGCCTCCAAGATCTGGGGGGAGCATCATCTCAACACCCCCCTACAAGAGTAAACAATCCATGTTTTCAATGGCCGCCAACATGTGAGATCACTTCATAAAACAAGTTATCAGAAAAGTCAACAAGCACATATGCAAGTGCTCAAAATAACACGTCACCACAAGACGCGCCTCGCCCCACCCACCCCCACCCCCCACCCGGAAAAAGAACAAGGCTCTTGGCAAGAATCTAGAACAAAGGGAACTCTTACCTTTGGGGGGAAATTCTGGCCATTTCTAATAAAAGTAATCAATTACACTTATATTCCCTACTAATTCGTATCCTAGGTATAGGCCTGCAAGAAAGGAGAGCATAGTTCCATGCTGACTTGTTCGAGACGGCAGTTTTTGTCACAAGAGCCCAAAGCTAGAAAAAGTCCAGCTGCCCTTTCACGTGGAAGAACTGGCACATTCGCTACACGGAATATGACCGGGCAACAAAAAGGCTGCACGGTGCTGCATGCAAGCAGACCGGCCATCGCCAGAGGAGGCTAAATGAATGAAGTGTTGCATCCAAGGCCTTACAAAGTCAGGACAGGCAATCTTCTGGTATAAAAGTTCACAGTAATGGTTGCCTCTAGGCGAGTGTGATAATGTTCTCGATCTGGATAAAGGTTGATAAGTATAAGCATTTCTGGAAAGACTCAGCAAAGGGACACTTAAGGTCTGTGCATTGAAGGGACTGAAATTTATATCCTAAGCAGAACCTGGGCAATTGCTGGACTTGTCCATGTGAAAAGTGTTGACTTGGCAAATGGTAGGTTACATAGTTGATAGATCTACTGCAATGCCTACTTGCAGCTGATCGGCTTCTCATTCACGGTGACTACTGGACAGAGTAGAACTGCTCATGAGTGTTTCTGAGGCTGTTAATCTTTTCAGAAGCTGAAGACTGCCTCATCTTTTTTCTGTCGAGCAACTGGTGGGTTCAAACTACCAACCCTTCAGTTACCAGCCCACTGCTTACACGCACCCGGCCATCAGGGCTCATTACCACAGTACCAACAAAAAAAATTATGAAGCAAAATTTAAAAATATTGACATGCAAGTTCATGGCATGCAAGTTGGAATATTTAGGAGGAAGTGTACAGATGGCTACAATTTTAAATACTGTATATATTCAAGTATAAGCTGACCTGAATATCAGCCAAGGCACCTCATTTTACCACAAAATTTCATTAAAAATGTGCTGACACCCCCCCACCACCACTATCATGATTCCAATTCTACCTTACAAATCTGGCTAGACCAGAGGATATACACTGGTACAGATAGGAACTGGAAACACAGGGAATCCAGGACAGATGACCCCTTCAGGACCAATGATGAGAGTGGTGATACTGGGAGGGAGGATGGGGTGGAAAGGGGGAACTGATTACAAGGATCTACATATAACCCCCTCCCTGGGGGATGGACAACAGAAAAGTGGGTGAAGGGAGACAGCATACAGTGTAAGACATGACAAAATAGTAATACTTTATAAATTATCAAGGGCTCATGAGGGATGGGGGAGCAGGGAGGGCGAGGGAAAAATGAGGAGCTGATATCAAGGGCCCAAGTAGAAAGCAAATGTTTTGAGAATGATGATGGCAAGAAATGTACAAATGTGCTTGACACAATTTGTACGTATGTTTGGATTGTGATAAGAGTTGTATGAGCCCCCAATAAAATTTTTTTTAATGTGCTGAAAACCTCGGCTTATACACGAGTATATACGGTATGTCAAAAAATAAGATGAACTGATGGATGGGGTTAACAAACAGATATATAATAAAACGCATACAGCATCTAGCAAGATCTTAATAGGAGAATCCAAGGAGTAGAAAAATGAATGATCACGTAATGATTGAACTTTCTTGTGTTTGAAATTTTTAACAAGCCCTTGTGGGGCAAAGGGGAAGACTATAAACAAGAAGTCGGGCAAGAAAAAGGCAGTAAAGAATGTGAAGGAAACAACAGTGAGGGAGAAAGCAAAGCTGAGAAGAATGGTGTCCCAAGCGTTCTGGGGACAGCGTTCTAAGGAGAAGGTGCAGAATGCTCTGAGAAGTGAGGCCCTGTTATATGCCTATGAAACGTCTGCCCCCTGGATGTGGCCCTACTGGTCATGCCGGAGTCGGGACAGGAGAGGAGAAAACCTTGGGAAAGATCCAGAAGAGGCTGGTGGGGAGGGAGCCAGCAGGGGAGAAGAGAAGGAATGATGAAAAGAAAGCAGTGATAGGGCCAAGGGGGGTGTTCCGGAGCAGGTGAGATGCCAAGTGGCCTTTGAGGGTGGCACCAAGGCCACCCTCCTTCCGCTGTCATAAGCAGAGCACCATTCAGAAAGGGTCTAGACAAGGGTTGGCCCGGGAGCTCTGGGGATGACAAAGAATGCAGGTGGCCTGCGAGCTGACATACAGCATGGAGCCTACACACCAAGGTCACCGGTCTTCCGCGGACGCACACGGAAAGCTCTCCTTACCTTGAGTTGCTGCTGGAGTTCGCTGTTCAGCCTGGCCAGCACGGCATTGGCCTCTTTATTTTTGCGGATCGCAGTCTGAATCGCCTTCTTCTGTTTGGAAGATTGTCTGCAGAAAGAGCACATCCATTCGAATGAACAGAGGAGCCAACGTTAGGGGACTCCAAAGGAACAGTCACAGGTCAGCAGGTGGGCGGCAGTCCCGTACCAAGGGAGACAAAGGTGTCTGGGATGCACTGTAGACACCTGGAGCCATTCCCATTTCACGATCCTGAAGAAAAGCTTTGAATTGGGGTTTTCCCAATACTTTGTGTTCTATTTATTCCCAACCACTCTAGCAGATATTTTCTCTGGACAACTAGTATTAACTGGGCGGCCCTTTTGGGGTAACATTCCAAAGCCCGGAGGGTGGTCCCGGTGGCCAAGTTTGAAGGAAAAGGATAGACGAACACGCTCTCTAGCAGCAATCCTACATTAATTTCAGTCAGCCTGCATGGCGCGCATTTACATGCCTGGCCTACATCTGTAACACTTGAGGAGAACATGGACTATTTTCACACCAGTTTTCAAACTCAGTCAACAGTCAATTGACTAGACAGATATAGCCAGGGAGACCCTGAGTTGCAGCTTATCCACTAGTGTCTGTTTTCAGCCTTTGCCCTGCCATCATTAGTACCAGTATCCCCGCTTCTCACTCAAAACTGTCCACATCGGAGATGAGCAATCAAGGTGGTTACCACAGATATAATCTAACGTTTTCTTTTTGTAATCACATGGCAGGAACACCTGAAAGCCTATAGCTCCTCGAGTCTCCTTCGACATGATTGAGAGACTTCAATGCCCTCCCACGGGCATTAAGGTAAGTAGCTAGCTATGGACTTCTCTGTCTGCGAGAGGAAATGCAGATCGTTTTAGGCGTACACACAGCCCCAGGCTGACAAGGAGTTTTCCGACTTGCTCCCCATTCTACCTTGACTTACTTTTGCACTGTGGGATGGGCTTTCACACTTGGGGCAGAAGCTGGTCCCCCAGCAGCAGGAGGGTGCTCGGGGTTCTCTGGAGCTTGATTCTCAGGTCTGAATTTCCGGCGGATGGGCTTTGATGGAGGCTGAGCATGTGGTATATCCTGTGGATTCAAAACAAAACAAGGAGGGGGTGAAAAATCAAAGGGTTAAAAAAAATCAAATGACTCTCCTCTTTGCCCGTGTCCACGCCCCAGTGGCCCTGTCTCCTGTCCCCAAGGCCAGGCAGTTGATCGAGATCCATCGCCAAGAATGACATGGCCGATTTCCAGCTCAATGAACACTAGAGAGGCAGATTCTCCCCTATCTGCCTTCACTTGTAAGGTGTCAAGCAGTCGATAGCCCTCTGCTTAATGAACCCTGGTGGCACAGGGGATTAAGCATGCAGCAGCTAACTAGAAGGCGGGTAATTTGAACCCACTAGCCACAGCCTAGGCAACCCTATGGACATCTACTCGGTCTTGTAAGGTCACTAAGAAGCAGAATTGACTGAATGGCAGTGGGGATGGGTGTTTTGGTTTTAATTTTTTATTGTGAATCAGGTGGGAGTTTCTGTTCCTGATCGTTTTTGCCTTCAACAACTTATCTAGCCTACCAATGGCTTCCCCTGTCCACTCCCGCCCTTAGGCTCATCCCCTTTACCCAAGTTAACGTAACACCTGTCTACTATCTAGTTTCTTAACTACCCCCTTCCTTTCCCCACCCCTGGTAACCAGCAAAGTCTATTTCTTGTCATTTAAAAGCTTTTCCTTGTTTTTGGTAATGTGTGTCCATGCATGTGTGTGTGTGTTATAATAGTGACCTCATATAGTATTTATCATTTTTTTGTGGACTTGTTTTAATTTTTTTTATTCTTTAAATCATTTTATTGGGGGCTCCTACAATTCTTATCATAATCCATACACACATCCATTGTGTCAAGCATATTCGTACATTTGTTGCCATCATCATTCTCAAAACATTTGCTTTCTACTTGAGCCCTGGTCCGTTATCTTTTTTTAAAAGTGTTTTATTGGGGGCTCATACGACTCTTATCACAATCCATACATACATCAATTGTGTAAAACACATGATCAGTTTTTGATGGACTAACTTCCCTCAGCATAACGTCCCCCAAATCTATCCAAATTGTGAGGTATGACTGTTTCGTCAACATTCTTTGCTGATGTGTAGTATTCCATTGAGAGTCCGCCCCAGAGTGGGTTTATCCATTTTTCCACCACTGGGCACCGAGGCTGGTTCCATCTTCAGCTCTGACGAACAGTACTGTGATGAACGTGGGTATGTATCCATCCTCTTGAGAGAAGGATTTCTGGGTTGTATGGTATTTTTATTCCCAATTGTTTGGGGGAGCACCACACCGCTTGCCACGTAAAACTCACCCGGACCCAGCACGTACCTCACACCTCCCGTTGCGTCTTCGGAGGCCCCAGTTTTGAAAGATGTAGAGGTCCTAGTCACCTAGGCCCATCATTCTCCTACTCCTGACTCTTACACGGAGGCAATCAAAGAGCTCCCCCCCACCCCCCAATGCCTTCTGGAAGGAGAAAGCTAGCCAGACGAGTGAGCCCTGGGAACGTCCCTCCTTGAGCCCAGGCTGACTGCCCATCCTCTCTGAGGAAAGAGGGGCCCGGAAGGCATGGAGTGGACAGGAAGACACATGGCATGGGGTCCGAGGACATGTGGACAGAGGGGCAGACATCGGCTGCAGGAAGCGCCCCTGATTCAAAGACAAGGGAGGAGAGTCTCATAGGGGTTTACTGTAAGGCACCTGCCCCACCCCCGGCACCTCCTGATGTAGCAAACCCCAAGGCTCCCCTGGTCATCAGATTGCCCTGGACAGTAGAGTACACAGCCCAGGAATCGACAGGACCTAACGTGAAGCAAGGCACCAACTGCTAGGCCCCCCAACATTCATGTTCACTTTAGGACACACATATTGCAGGATGACAGACTTGCCCGTAGCCCCATGCGGCCTGGGGTGGGGCTCGTGATGTCCTCAGGGCACTCTGCTGCCTTACTTACCTTCTTGGCAGGACTACCCTCCGCAGCCTGGGTGGGGCCTCTGCTCGACAGTGGGGGCGCCTCGGCCTCGGCCTCGGCCGGTTGTTCAGACTGGAGCAACAGAGAGCATAAACACAGAACTCAGAAACCACCAGGGAAACAGCCGACCAGGGGCTCAGGACGACTCCCTCAGGGAAAAGTCACTCGGGCAGGTCCCTCGATCCTCACAAAGGTCTCTGCCAGGCACTGCCACTTGCCTTCCCAGCCCTGCTTCCGGCCCTGAGGGACCTTAGGGTGAGGAGTCGGGGGCCTTTCTTCTATCATGGGTGCCTTAGAGGCCCATACCTGACAAGGTCACACACCAAAGATAAGAGGGCACGTGTGGAAACATAAATGGGGAAGACGATATAAAATGTACTACAAAAACCACCATCATGCTAGACCACCCCACCTGAAGAAATGCTCCATTTACAATACAGCTTCTGATAAATATGGGGGGCCTTCCAAATGTTTGTGGGGAAAAATGGAATTTAAAAAGAGTAATTTCCCACACATTTGTTAAAGCCCCCTTATATACCTCTTTACCTTATAAAGGTATAGAAACGAGAGAGAGAGAGAGAGAGAGAGAGAGAGAGAGAGGAGCTGGACAAGTGCCTGGTCTCTGAGCAGAAGCTTGAGGTCAGTGAGCATTCAGGACTCAGCGCAAGCAAGGCCCTGAACACAGAGCAGCTGCTCGCAGCCAGGTGCAAGAACACAGGGGACAAGGGACCAGGGAGAGCTCAGAGCTCCAGCACTTTCTAACTTCGGTGGCTACCGGTCAGTAATGTGAACTGTCAACGAGCTGCATCAAAACGCCTGGTCTGCTACCTGATACCCCGCCTCTGGCCTCGCTCCAGACCCTCACCTCAAGGGAATGCAGCAGAGCAAGCTGCCCTACAGTGACTGCTTCATCCCCAAGCTGACATTCTGTAACCTCTTGCCACGTGGTTTCTTCAGACACTATTGTCAAGGCGTGCTCCCAAGAGCACTACTGCTCCCCAAGGTAAGTCTTCCTTCCCCATCGACCCTCTAGCACCCTTGTCCATCTTGATTAAACTCCAGTCCCTGGCATCTGACCAGCCCTCATCTCTTAGATCACCTTGCCCTACTTGGGACCTTACCTCCCCTTTCCGATTGGAACGTCTTACCACTCACCTAGAAGCTTTCTCAAGCTTCTGGCTTCCGGTCTCCTGCTCAGAGGAAAGGATGCCTGTGAGGACCGGGCGGGGTTCTGCTGTGCATGCGCAGAGTCTCTCTGAGTCAGCATCAACTCAACAGCACCTAAGCCCACCGCCACTTTGGGTGGGAGTTCCAAAAACCACAGCTAGAAGTGCCGTGGTAATTCACCACACCACAGCCTGACGCTGGTGAATGAAATAAATATCTGCAAACAACGAACATTACAAATGGTGGGCCTTTCCCCCGGGCTCCATATGTTAACAACAACTACCCGGACTGAATGTGACAAGTCAGGAAAATGTGCTTTTAGCATACAGTGCATTGGAGCTGGAGCTAAGGCTCTGTGCAAAAATATTTATCTTGTATTTTAATATTACCATTCCCCTATCCACAAATGGCAAATATATTTTCCATTCCCAATTTACAGTGAAAAGCCTAAGAGGTGCTGTGAAGAGCATTCTGGGATTTTGCCCCTTCCTGGGGTTGATGGGACATATGGCCTTGCTCAGCTCAACTGGTCTCCCTGAAACGGGTACAGATCCAGAGAGGATAGCCCTTAGGATTATTCACCAGAAGAAGGGCTCATCCATTCATCTCATGGAAGGTACTTGGGAGATGAGGAGGAGGAAGCCAGGTGTACTTGATGCTGTGGTACCCAGATCCCCTTTATCTGGCTGGCTCCTCGGTCACTTAACCATGTCAAGGGTTAGCTACAAGGACTTACTCCTGCCTTCTTTAAAAAATTACCCTTGCTTGATGGGTACCCACTTCTCACCAACCCCTCCCAGCAGCACACAGACAATGACCAACTGATAGGAAGGTATAAAAGACCAGTCCTGTTGACGCCAGTCCTCCCTGTGTGGATTAGACCAGGGCCAGACTGGACCTGCAGTCACATTCTTGCTGAGCGCTTTCCTTTACCCTAGCTTGCTACCTTCATCTTTTTTCTAGAGTTTTCCTGAATAGTTCTCCCTCCACAAATCACTTTCCAGGACTCTCCATCTCAGGTGCTGCTCCCAAAGTCACGCCATAAAGTGCTCCCAGCAGGGGGAGGGAGAAGCACACATGGGTGGGATTTGGAGTCTAGCAATGGGGAGTGGGGTGGGGAGTGGGAGAAGCAGCTGGTGAAGTGCAGCAGGGGTGGCTCGTGCCTGGCCTTCCAGCCCATTGCCCGGAGGGTCTGCAGGTGACTCAGCACTCCCAGTGCAGAGGACAGAGGGACAACTCCAGCAGCTTAATTGCCAATGAGTCTCTCAACCCTGAAATCAAGAGGGTGGAAAGAAAAACCCATCAGCAGCCGTACTTTCGCTGACACCCTTGCTGCTCTGGCCAGGGTGGGCAGAAAAGCCTGGGCTCAGCAGGCAGTCGAGGTAACTGGTGGTGGCGGCCTTGGGGCATTTCCCTGCAAGTCATTACTTAGGGAATACAACCAGCCAGATCATTCCCAGCTGTTCCCTTCAGTGCTTGCAACGTCCCACCAACGTTCGGAAAGCCCAAGCGGGCCTGGCCTTCCCTCCGCTTTGCTCCTCTGACCCTTAAATCATGTGTGCGAGTACCTGACTTCTTGATTTATGTGAATCCTCTCCTCCACCTGGGATGGTTTCGGTTTCCTTTACCAAACCTTGACTGACACACTCAGGTTGAGGAATTTGGGGCTTTTCCTGAGGGCCCGGGGGCTGCTCAAGGATTCGTCAAGTCAGGAAATGATCTGGTTAGACTTGTGTTTTAGAAGGATTATTCTGGGCCCAGCGAGTGAAAGGAATTGGTAGCAACCCACACAGTGGTGATGGGATCTCAATCGGAAGGCTGAAGAAGACCATGAGACGTGATGGGCTTTTAAACAACTGTTGGGCGGGAGGAGAGTCCCATTGAAAACTGTTTGGCCTGGAGACCAGGAATGGAGGAAACGTGGTGGGTCACTCGTCTGATGGAGCTCAGCTTTCCATCTGGAACCGTGGCCAAAGGGGGGCAAAATATCTTCAGTCAAGAGGAAATTCATCTAGCACTGTAGAAGCAGAACACAACTCAGCAGGTTCACTCTCAAGCAGTGTGAGAACCGCCCAGCTCCCTCTCCCTATTGGCCATCTCCCAGATACCTAGGTTTAAGGGACTACTCACTAGTGCCACGGATTGCCTAGAGGACGGTCAACAAACTCTGTCTTAAAGAGCCAAAGAGCGGGCCACGCAGGCTCTGCTGCAATTCCGCACTCGGCCAGAGTGTGAAAGGAGCCGCACACGATATAAGTGGGTACGGCGGTGTCCTGATAACATTTTATTTCTAAAAACAGGTGGTGGGATGGCTTGGGTCTGTAGGCCAGAGTTAGCTCATCCCTCGCCTCCAAATTTACTGTCATTTTGAGTAAATCCGTACTGAGAGTGACCCTATAGGACAGAGTAGAAAACAGCCCTTGTCAGTTTCCCACACGGTCCATCTTCATAAGAGCAGAAAGCCTCATCTTTCTCCTAAGGAGCTGCTGGTAGTTTTGAACTGCTGACCTTGTGGTTATGAGCCCAAAGGCATAATCCACTGCACCAACAGAACTCCTTAAACTACTAGCCTAGGGGGACCGGGGGCGGGGAGAGGATTCGACGGGGAAGTTCAAGAAACACTGCATAGTCTTTCTGTGGGGGTGGTAACAGAAGTCCTGAAGCCCTCAGTTCCCGAATTTACTTGGTTTAAGTCTCTTCTTCTCATGTAATTCCCATTAGCATCAATGGATCATATGGGAAAGCCCGGCCTAGACACGGTCTGAGCAGAGGAACATCATTCCATTTCACTTGAATGCCACGCACCACGTTCTGGACCTGATCTTCCTGGAGGGGCATTCTCCACAATGGTTGTCAGACCTGACTTCGTGCTTTGGCCCAGAGTACAACCATAAGGTGCGCTTGGCAAGAAGGTCTCCCCCCACACCCTTCTTCTTCAAGGTAGCAGCTGCCCACTCCTTCTCTGCGTGACTTTATTCAGTGAGTTCTCTAAAACCTCCTGGACAGACACAATAAAAAGCATCCGTTTTAACGGTTAAGACAGATGAGAGCAATACTGATAAATTATGAATTTGTTTTCCTGGAAAGTAGCTTCCAACAACAGGTCTCAGGTTTCAGTTCTATGCTGGCAGGCCAGCATTACAAAGCCTCCCCCGCCCCCTCCCCCCGGGGCCACAGTGCTAGCTCAGTCCAGGTGCTCCCCACAATTCTAGCATGGGCCACTGCACACACACCAGCGGGTCTTTTGCTGGGCCAATTCCACTCTGCTCACCACTGAGCAACCAATCTTGTATAGTACCATTTTCATCAAAATGGTCTCTTGCTCAAAGCCCTTCAATGGGTCCCTAAGGCCTATGGCACACAATGCAGCCCCTTAGCCTGTCCTGAAAGGTCTTCATCATCTGGCTCCTATTTGTGTCTCCATGACTGTGTTTGTTTACCCATATACAACCCGCTCCAGACACACAAGCATTCCCTGCATCTTCAAACACCCCAGAAGTTCCTTCCCAACTCAAATTCTGTTGGCTCTACACCCTCTCACTCTGTGGTCCCCAGACACGACTACACAGCAGACATCTCTTGGGGTTTTTTTTTAATACATTATAGGCTTCTATACACTGTGCCAGACTTCCCTAGCCAGAATCTCTTAGAGTTTGGAGCATTCGAAATCTGTAGTTTAACAAATTTCCTAGGTGGCTTTTTAAAAAAAATGTAGCTATCCCAAACTAACTGGGGACCATTGAGGGTCCCAACTCTTTTTTTTTT